GTTCCATATGTTTTCTTGCACCTCCATCAGTGCTGGCACAGAGGTGCGCGGTGGCAAGCGTTTGGTGAGCTGTCCCTTCATCGACATGCTATAATTGGCATCCTCCTCTCCAAGCTGCATTTCTAACCTGTCAGGCAACTGGACCATAGAGGAGCACAACCAAGAGATTGCATCCGGGCATTGCGCTCGGACAACGGTTTTTCCTTTTGTCTTGGACATCCCCTAATAATAGAATATGTTACATGATGGATGCAGCAACGCCCGAGTGTGTTCTAGAGGTTCTTTGGGCCGCGTGGAACAATTCTTGGCCCCTGTAGCCACTTGCAGAGCAGGTATGTTTCACGAACTATGACTTCAACGGGATTGAGATGCCATCGATGTTCGCCTACTTGCGTATTTATTACACGCCCACACCACCCACGCCCCCTAAGTGCTGACCAAGAGTGCACAGGTTCTGTGACAGGAAACGAAAGGCAGGAGGTCATGAATGGCCTTGAAATACAGATGCCCTGCTTCTCCAGTCTCATGTCACCGTCCGTGCCCACAACTTGTGATACCAAAGATTCGGGAAAGGAGCGACTTCCAGAAATGTCTCAGAAATCAATTTGGTTCGGCCAAGCTGGCCTCTCAAGACAGGTTGGCCGTTCATCAAAGGGGCCAGCAACGAAGCGGCTCAAGCTCAAGTGGTTTGAAGTCACAGGCACCAAACATCTATCCACAAAGCCATGTATTGGAGCTTGAGGCTTCTTACTTTGGTCTGGTGGGAAAGCTGAGCTGATCCGGGTCCAAAGGCCTTCTGGAAGAGGTTACTATTTCTTTCCAGCACACATAGTTTCCCCGCATCACGAATGGGGCCAGTCCCTGCAACCACAAAGGACAGTTTCGTTTCAGGATCCGGGGTTGACGTGGAAGAGCCAATTTTTCTGAGGCTGAAGAAGCAAACGGGTTTGGAAAGTCGTCGCGCGACCCTTTGACTTGTCAGCCCAATCGATGATTTGTGTGCAATCTGTGCTGTGAAGAATTGGAGGAGAACATGATGTCAAGAAGGATGAAGGTGTGCTTGGTGCAACCAAATCTGAGTTTGCGCTCGGGCAGGATACACTTGGCCTTCGACTCAAGATTGCTCCTTTGTTGGAACATGAACGGGAAGAGTTGCCACTTGCTAGAGGCTTTGCATACATTAGCACGGCCATGTGGTAGCCATGTGACAGTATGATATTCTTGACGGATGCTCCGGAGGGCTGGTTTGTGAAGTGCATCACCTTGACGGAGTAGCATATGAGTCATAAGGAAGCCTCATGTTGCGTCAAGCCTCAAGCTTGCGGGCGACCAAATTCGTTGCAGAAAGACTGGAGAAAACGGACTTTTTCAATAGAACCGACAGTGAGGAAATCCAAATTACATCTTCAAACAGTGTGGATTAAAAACAGTGTTCCCTGTCTTTCCAAACAGGTGAGTTTGTCCTTCGAAGCTCCAGCTCTTAGATGGAGGGTTTCCATCCCGAACTCGTAATCTCTGCCCACAACTTGTGATACGAAAGATTCGGGAAAGGAGCGACTTCCAGAAATGTCTCAGAAATCAATTTGGTTCGGCCAAGCTGGCCTCTCAAGACAGGTTGGCCGTTCATCAAAGGGGCCAGCAACGAAGCGGCTCAAGCTCAAGTGGTTTGAAGTCACAGGCACCAAACATCTATCCACAAAGCCATGTATTGGAGCTTGAGGCTTTCTTACTTTGGTCTGGTGGGAAAGCTGAGCTGATCCGGGTCCAAAGGCCTTCTGGAAGAGGTTACTATTTCTTTCCAGCACACATAGTTTCCCTGCGTCATGAATGGGGCCAGTCCCTGCAACCACAAAGGACAGTTTCGTTTCAGGATCCGGGGTTGACGTGGAAGAGCCAATTTTTCTGAGGCTGAAGAAGTAAACGGGTAGGGAAAGTCGTCGCGCGACCCTTTGACTTGTCAGCCCAATCAATGATTTGTGTGCAATCTGTGCTGTGAAGAATTGGAGGGGAACATGATGTCAAGAAGGATGAAGGTGTGCTTGGTGCAACCAAATCTGAGTTTGCGCTCGAGCAGGATACACTTGAACAAGGCCCAAGACCTTCGTGTACATGGAAGTCCTGCGTATTTCTGGTCATAATGAATTCTGCATAAGAGTCTTGCACTGCGGGAGGATTTGGCTGTTGGAACGCCAGGGCCTCCGGAATTGTGCGACAAATCCAACATATCGTGGCCAATGCCGCAGAGATGGCCGAAAGGGCAACGTCCTGTGGGTGAGTATTCGGGCGGCCCCAAAACGACTGTTTGGTAGGCAATTGTAGATTTTGCGGAGATATTTGAGAGACCGATCTTGTATCGCAACGCGACACTGCCGTGTGAGCAAGTTTACCGTAGTTGCTGCAGAATCGGGGCCGCGACAATGCGCAATGTTTGTGTAAGCTGATCGCTGTTCACAGCGAGCTTCCGGGAAGCATGCAAATTTGCAAGGCTAAACGTCCCTTCCAGACTGTGAAACCCTCAAAAAGGGCATTCGCATCCACTTGGTCCTAAAGCCTGGTGAAAACTGAACAGGGGGTGGCATGCTCATTCGCTGTACGAACACACTGCGCTTTGTGCAGCAAGTGGTGCCGCCTGTTCAAACTGAGCTTTGTGACGTCGTAGGGCTCACAATCTTGAGACACTTTCTCTTGGCTCCAGGCCCTCGGGTGGTCCGGGTGGTCCTTTGTGGAGTGATAGACATCTTTGCAAGAGAAGATGATCTGCAAAGCTGAGACTTTTCTCGACTTTCCTCAGCGAAAGCCCTCCGGAAAGACCACCCTGTCCTCTGGTTTTAGTCTCAAGAAAGGACCTGCTCTGACAGATTGTAGGATGCAAATGATTCATTCTAGCCTGTCTTGCATGGATGAAAGAAAGGCCTTCCTTTTGGCCAACCTAAAGACCTAGAGGGAACTTGCGGGGTGGGAGATCCCTCACAGAGTCTTTGTCCTTTGTGAGGCAGGTGCACTTGAAAGAGACTTACACTTTTGCTGAGTAACAAGAAGCTACTAGGGGCTCCTGGCCTTACTACTAGGAGCAAGGACGCTACTAGGGGCTCCTGGCATCGCTACTAGGAGCAATGTTCGCTACTAGGGGCATGTAAAAGATCAGTTGCTGGCATGATGTCCATAGCAGGGTGGTCGTACTCATGCAAGGAACTTGCCTTGAGTTAGAGCTGTACTCATCTCATCTTTCAGGATTTTTGCTTGTCTTGCCCCAGCGAGGTCACAGAGAGCATCTTTAGGGGCAGAGAAGAAGCAACAAGCGCTAACCACTTGGCATGCTGATAAGAGCCCAAGGGTAGCATCAATGCCCCGATGATTGTTCTGTCCACGGACAAACACTTGATGGGCGTACAATATGTGGCAAGAGCCCCCAGTAGCTTCCTTGCTCCTAGTAGCCCCTAGTAGCTTCTAGGATGAAGCATTCTTGCGACGATCCTCAGCCAGTTTAAGCTTTACCAGAAGTCGTAAAGAACTGCTGAAAGGGATGCTAGGACACGAACATATTTTGTGGACTGGCCTTGAGTCATAATGAAACATTGCATCAAAACGAGGCTGCCTTTTGTACCCAGATTTGGTGGTGACATGTGACATGTGGCATTATGAAGATGGAGCAAAAGAGGATCGTTTTCCCCATAGCAGCATGCTAAGTGCTTGCTGAGTTCCTCCAACATATTCCGTGATGTTACGGAAGACTTGCTTTAGAAGTGGAAAATTGGAGGATGGCAATGTTTGTGAGATTTGATCGTTTCCTCCACCTGCAAACCCGCGTGGCCCAACATTCGCAAAACACGGCAAGATGGCTCAGTGGCTTTGTCCTTGCATGCGGAGTAAAAGAACTTACAGTATACTAGCAATGGCCTTGAACCTAAAGAGCAATGGCCTCCAACTTATGTGTAAGCCTTTTCCTTGGGAACAGCATTGCCGTGTCTTCTCAATGCGTAAGATGTGGTACCTCCAGCTTAAGCGCAGACTGTGGTCATAAGCAAAGCGCAAAGCATAAGAAGGTTGTACGGCATAGACTAAGGTGCAAAACTTGGAACGAACAAAGTTGAAGTCAAGCTTAATTCGCTAGTAGGAGCAAAACGCTACTAGGGGCTCCTGGCCTTACTACTAGGAGCAAGAAGCTACTAGGAACAATTCGCCTGGCTAAGACAATCGAAACAAGCGTATCCCATCGCTATCCGGAGACGACAGAGTTGCCGGAGCCAGTGAGACCGGACCCCGCACATGTTCGGCTCGGACTGGGGAGCCTCAAAATCAATGGCCTCCAACCTAAGAGCGTCCTTGCTCCTAGTAGCGATGCCAGGAGCCCCGAGTAGCTGCTTGTTCCTAATAGCGATGCCCTTTGCTCCTAAGAGCGTCCTTGCTCCTAATAGAAAGAATGCTCCTAGTGGCGATGCCAGGAGCTACTAGTAGCTTCTTGTTCTTAGTAGTAAGGCCAGGAGCTACTAGTAGCGTCCTTGCTCCTAAGAGCGATGGCCTCCCCTTAAAATCTCATTTCTTGGAGTCCGTTCCCCGCGTTCGAAGAAGTTCCATATGCAGTTGATCCACGAAGCTCGAGTTCGGCCTGTGATAAGGCTCCCAGCATGCACTCACACGAGGAGGTAAGACATGGCCGTGTCATATATGGAGCCTGGGTATGAGCAACAACTGAATCATGTAAGGGGAGTTGTGAGGCATGCGTGTAGCGCAAGCTGTACGTATTGAACACATAGACTGGGTGAATGCCATGATGGGAGTGCTGGCATCGCATCAGGTATCGCGTCAGGTATCTCCTTTGATTCTCAGCTGACCAGGCCGCCAGTTGAGACCAAAATGTCAACTGTGCCTCTCAGAAAGTGCGCGTTCCAAATTCGAGTGCGCCCAGGGTGCAGCCTCAGCCTAGAGCTTGCAAGGGGTTTGCAAAGCTCAGAAAGTCATCCTGAAGGTGTACTGAAGGTTTGCAAAGCAGGAACAAGAACGCTACTAGGGGCTCCTGGCCTTGCTACTAGGAGCAAGGACGCTGATCGATTTCTGTCTTGCCGTGAAAAGGTGAAATGAGGCTTCTTGTTCCTAATAGCGATGCCCTTTGCCCCTAGTAGCGTCCTTGCTCCTAGTAGCGATGCCAGGAGCCCCTAGTAGCGTCCTTGTTCCCCGCACAAAAGCGGCATATCTCCAAACATTCATCGTCCTAGACCGGTCAATGCGAGGGCTCTCATTGACACTGCTTTGAGACCGGAGGCTAATTGCAATAAGTTGCCATGAATTATAAAGGGATGGACAAGTTCCCGCAGATGCCCGTGCAGAAGCGAATTCGGACTGCGAGTGGTATCCCAGTCATGTTTGGCAGCGCTTTGCAAACCTGAGCCAGCTAGAGCATTGGTTGACGATTTGTAGAATGCAGTGACAGCCCAGTTGTTACTTCATGATGGAGGACGAGCATCGTTGAAGATTCGACAGCAGCCAGGAGCATGCAGTTTGTTTCGAACACTTCCGTGTCAGTATGTGGGCGCGGGTCATTTGGACCTTCTCACGAATGAAGCCAGTTGATTTCGGAAGTTCAACCTGCAATACTCAAGATATCTTCACCGCTATTTGGTTGGAGGCCATCGCTAGTTGCTTGGAGGTATCTTTCGAATCCACGCAATCACCGAGTCGCAAATGTTGAACATTTTGCTGGCATAGTGTTCGCAGGGTCTGGTAGGGACCGGCTTCTTGGAAGATTGGATTTGAGCAGTCCTTCATTGCATGGGGCTTGTGAAAATTGAAATGCACTGTCTCAAAAAGCATGCAGCAGGAGTGGGTTGAACAAATGCACTGCGAAGAGATCTGCCAAAGTGCCTCGCGCTTCAAACATCATAGAAAGCCAAGCAGTTCGCCTTCTGCGCGGTATTTCGGCTCCAAGCTCAGAGAGGTCAGACGATAATTAATTTCGTGGAGTCAGTGCTTTCATGCTCAGCATCACGATGCTCGACCTCAAAGATCAACACTTCCAGGTCTGGCGCTTGCTGTAAACTGCATGAGAGAGGCGGAGAATCGGCACCAGAAAAATTCGTAGACTGCAGATGCAACATCGGCAAAGTTGGGTTTTTGAATCAAGAATCGCTGTCGAACATGCGCGCAAGCCTACCTGAGTTGGTATAACGCACGTGAGTGTTTTGCTTGCGAAGTGGTGGTGTGCGACAGGCTGTCCTAGCAAACAGAGAGAAACGTGCGATGGTCAATCTTTAAAATACCGTATTTAACGAATGTTGATTGCATGACGGGTGGGGCGTGTGGTGGAGCTGCAACATAAGAGCAGTTCATCCCGATGTGGGGGTGTAGTGACGTGCTGCCTCACTTCCAAAGTATTCACTCACTACCTGATCGTACCGTACTCAGCTTGCGTTCAACTGATTTATTGCCAGCCTTGATCTGAAGGTCCTTGTTTGTTCTTTTGTAAAGAATGATTTTTCTGGTGTTATTCAATGATTTGGCGATGGGCCTACTTTCTCCAAAGGCCTATCTGTCGGAGGTTTTCTTCTAGCGCTTGCCAACTGTATGTTCTTCAAGCACATGCAAAGATTCACGAAACATAAAAGGTATCCTTTTTCGGGAAGAACAGCCATTCGCGGGAAAAGGAATTTTGATCAGCCACCACATAGATAGATAAAACTTTCCAGATAAATATAGCAAGCCAGAGCCTGAACCCCATTTGTGACGCTTTAAGCAACCTGGTTCAGCGCAGCGACCTCCGTCGATGGCTCAATCTGCTATAGGACGAGATCCAATTTCCCCAGTCAATTCAATAGGAAACGGGATGGAAAAAGTTCATTTTCTCGTTCGGTCTTTCACAAAGCAGTGAGCAAGTCTTTCCGGCATGCCGCGCGGGTCCCGATTGATGGGGTTACCAAGTCTCAATCAACTTTCCACTTACTCTACAATAGCAGTACAGGTAAGAATCCTTTTTGTTCCCACAAAATGAATTGATTTGTCGTATCAACGCTGCTTGGCCGAATGCCAAACAGCTGGTTTTTGGTTTGGTTCAGATGTTTGACTCCATCCGATGCTTCACTTCGATCCCTTCGTGTCGGCATCGCGCCCACTGAACATGCTCCAGAATCGCATGCGCCCACTTCCACGTGGATTTGCTTGAGTCACGCCCCGAGGCGTGGTCAAGGCATGTGCGACGCAACTTGCGCAACTTGTTCCTGACATGAAGCCCATGTCCGTCGTTCCGTGCGACTCTGATCTCTCATGACGCTGAGACAGCAGAAAGCTACTAGTAACAAGTGCCACGCTAGTAGTAACAGGTGCCTTACTAGTAACAAGTGCATCGCTAGAAACAAGTGCCTTACTACTAGAAACAAGAAGCACTTGCTACAGGAAGGTGTCAAACAGAATCGCGTTAGACCGGATCCAGCTACGCCGGACATAGCAGGCAACCGCTTTCGAAAACAACAGCACGGAGCTTGAAGCTCTGGTTGTGCACAGTCGTGGAGTGGTAACTGGGATGCAGTGGGATGGTAGCAGTTGCAGCTGTTCCTTGTGCAAGCTGCGTATTGTCAAGATTTGCTGGCTAGAAGCACGCAATGAACTTCTGAATGGCAGGTCTCTGAAAAGTTTTGAAAAGGGAGCTGCAGTGGGATAGACCTACAGCTTTTTGAGTGCTCGTCTCACCAAGTTGCCCACGTGGCGACTGCAGGGCCACAGGGTTTCAGTGTCGCACACAGATGAACTTTCAGTCCAAACAGGCTTTCAAAGAGGCAACAGGTGTTTTAACTGCATGGAGCTAGTCTTTCGAGCGGCTCTAGACTAAACGCTCCTCAACATTTGCTGTTTTGGAGATTACCTTTCCAACTGAAAGTGCTCAAGTTTTGGGTGAGCCCTATCTCCTCCCGCTTCACAAGCAGCGAGCCAAAGAATGTGAAATAGAGATTGCAAGGGTTGCTCCTTGCGAGAAGCTATAGTTCCCGGAATCTATATGTTCTTTTGGGATGCTCGTTTGTCTTGCTTCCGACATTCAGGTCGCAGAGGGCACCCTTGGTGGAAAGAGAGAAGAAGCAAGAAGCACTGACAACTTGTCATGCTCCCCCGAGTCATCAATGCTTCAAGAATCTTGCTCTGCATGTACAATGAAGCAATCCTGTAGCAATCCTCAGCCAGTTTAAGCTTCACCAAAAGTCTGGATAAAGGAATGCTGAAAGGACTTCTCTGCTTCTGCATTCCTGGGTTGTACGCCCGCTTTTCCTTTCCTGGGCAGTGTTGAACTGAGTTTCAATAACATTGGTATTTTAGATTCATCTCAAGCAAGTGGCTGGCTAGGAGCAAGAAGCTACTAGTAGCAAAGGGCATCGCTACTAGGAGCAAGGACGGCACTACAAACTCCTGGCCTTACTAGGAGCCAGAAGCTACTAGTAGCTTAAGCAAGGCTGCGCCCCCCTTTGCACACAGCATCGCACCCGTGCAGATTGCAGCTTTCGCCCGAACAAGGTGCTACCCCCTGATCAGTGCAACGCCAGCATGAGCTGCGCAGCTCTTGATGAAGAGCTCCTAACCCTGATCCAATGAGGTCTGACGGGCTTTTGCTGAGGGCTCCAGCATCCTGCCAAACGTCGTGTACGACAGCTTTCGAACACCTCATATCCCACCTGGACCTTACCGTTCTCTGGGGCCCTACACACCAACAAGCACACTAGGATGGACACTTGTGGGTGTGAAAATCTCAAAGAATGCAACCCTTGACAAGCCCATTCTGGACGTTGATCAATGTTAAATCGAAGCTTCATAG